CTTCAGTGTGTTTAGTTTTGGATGCTTTGTTTCTGATTACTTTGTGACATGTTAGTGATTTTACAGCATATTTTTCTTCTTTCGCTTGTTTTTTTGACTCAACCTCAAAGCCTTCAACTCAAATACCATCTTACTCACTGAACAGTTGGTTCTGCTCTCTGTAAAACACAATAACGAGCCTTGGTGTCTCTTTCACCTCACACATGTACAACCTGAATAAAAAAAAAATCTTTTTTTTTTACAGTTTCTGCAGTCTGATAACAGCCGGGTGAAAACAGTAGAACAGACCGAAAAGGAAGAGAGAAAAAAAAAACTCAGCATGTGAAGAGTCCTATCCTCTGTCACTGCTGGCTTGTCTGTGATCATTTCTTGCAAGTTTCAGTGAAACATGTAACACCAATGTTGTCACAGACATACTGCTCAACCACAAAATAAAGTTATTTTAGGCCCAATAACTGACAAATTAAGAGCAAAGACCAAGTAGCCTAAAAAGTGAGAGAAAAGCTAACAAAGCTCTCTTATTGTCTGTACTTGTCAACCATCTGCCTGCAAACAGTTTTGAAGATGAGAGGCGAGTAGCTCTCCGCATCGCAAACCTACCTGTGCATTTACAAAATGTTGCCAGCTCTGTGTGGCTAGTTTGCTATTTTAACTTTAATGGTCATTTATTTTATGTCTCCAAAACATAAAACGCAACAAAAGATGAGACAAAGAAGGTGTCACTGCTGCTGTTGTTGTTTCTTTAAAGTTGAAACTATGTGAGAGGCAAAGTATGAGGAAGTAGATGGCACTGTTGTAACAGCTCGTCGGTGTTTATAGTTGGATGTATTTGACATCGAGTCATCACCAATTAAGTGATAAACTCCGGCTGAGTATCAAGGTGTGTCTCACTTTGTTCACGCCTGGATAGCTAAGAGGAATTCACAGCTTTGTACTGTAAAAGGAGAACAAATCTATTCTGAACGCCTCGAGGAAAGAACAATGATTTTCTGTGTTGAAGTTGTGAGAAGATAGTTGTGGAGTTTAGTGTATTTTTGGTGACTGGCTTTACTTACATGTACAAGCCTGTTTTAGGTAAAGTATGCTTAATGTTGAGCGGGATCAGCAGCCATGCCACGCTGCTGCTAGTCATGAGAAGAATATGTCAGTCGTTACTGCTCTTGTAAAAGTTGATTTCATATACAAAGAAGGCCATGGAAAAGCTACACGTGACCAAATAAAGAGACTCCTAAGCAGACTGCATTCATTTAAAGTTGTGCTCTTTTCAGCAGTTTGATGCGTTAAATCATTTTATATAAAATTTAAATGTAGTGATTTTATTCCCAGTTTCAGTGCTAAAGCTATCAGAAGTTAAGCATGGACTACAGCTGGGTTAGTGTTCAAACCTTGAGGACTTTTTAAAATTAAAAAAGAATGAAAAGAAAACTCCTGAGAAAGCAATGTTGTATTTGCACACATTAACGTGTGAGCTGCTAAGAATATCCTGAACAGAAATAAGATGTGAATTTCAATGCAAATCAAATAAAAACTAATCCCCCCCCTGCTTTTAAACCTGTTATGAGATGTCTAGACTGTCTGTAAAATGAATAGTCGGTGAGCCATTCACTGAGCACAGTATATTAAAAAGTGAATGAGATACACAAGGACGATACTAAGGCCTTACTTGTGTTTATCTGTACAAAAATCTGGACCTTTAACCCAAGCTATAACGCGTGAGATTGGATTACTTTTAGGTGATAGCTGACCTTGATTTGAGCTCTACGTAGGCAGGCTAACTTCCATTTCAGTTAGTTTATGTGACGTTGACTTTTTGTAAGTTTACAAGGATTAAGATTGACACCGACATTATGAGCTTATGTCACTGTATAATACTACACACCTTGTGACACCCGGAGGTCGTTGCTGTAATTGAATAGGGGGACATGATAATGAATGGATAAACAAATAAATAAATGAATAAGTTTCAATGGACAGACGTCTTATTGCTGCCCTCTGTTGGTGACATTTAAAGCTGCTGACGCTTGACTGGACCTGCCAATTTGCATTAGCATTCTTCTCTTTTATCATAGTGGACATTAAAGCTGTGGTAATGATTTAGTTTTGTGGGTGTTAAATATTAATCACAAACTAAAAATGTTTTGACACGAGTTGCTAACGGCAAATTAAGGTTAACTAAATCAGAATTTAAAATTTTCAGTTATTCAAAAGATCTGTTTTTTTACTTTTGTATTAATCAGTGAAAAGAAAAACCTATATTACCTCTTCACAAATATTCAGCTGAGTCTGTGTTGGGTAACCAGTGAAATTTGGCAAATATTTACACAGCAAAAATCTTGCTTAAGATCAAGTTTTAATTATATTTTAATTATACTTTGGTTATCTGTAACCTGACACTTTCAGGGAAGAAAATATTTACTTTTCTCATACCAAAAACACTGTTTTGTTATTGGATGGCCTTGAATTGTATTATCCTGGTCCATTCCTTCTGTAAAATCTCTATTCAGCTCAGATTTAGTTGCACTGAATGAAGTGAGTTGTTAAATGTTGTTCAGCTCGAGGGACAAAACATGTTCATATTTTTAATTGGATTTTATTTTTTTGAAACTGCAAAAATAGGCTATATTTGTATTTTAACTGCGTTTTAGCAACATGGAAAAATCACTTTGTGTCACAGTTCCAGTATTTTCATAATCCATAGGAAGACCTGTTTGTCAAACAGGATTTATATATTTATTATTTTGTTTTTAATTTAAGTAGCCTAACTTTCAATGGGGGTTCTAAGATGATGACGATTAATAAAACAGCGTACACATTATAGCCTATATGTTTGTTTGTTTGTTGCAATGAATTCTTATTTTATAATATAGTATAATTAAGGAATATTTATGGCTATGTACATGTGCTTCATTTCGTATTTTTCGCTGGACATTTTTGAAATATGAGCACGAGCACGAAAATTCTAAATATTCTTGAAATATGTCATGCTTATTTCAATTAAAAGAATAAATAAATAAATAAATAAAGCAAAATTTTAAGTTTATTTATTTAATTATTTTTTTGTCATGGTGGCAACAACGTGCTGCCATAAGGGGGTTAGTCCAGAAAAGAAAAAAAAAAAAAAAAAAAGCAAAACATGTAAAGCTCTCTGTGGCTCTCCTGAAACAAAATGTTCTCCGCGTTGAATCCTTCCTGCACGTGCTGCCGGTCGAGCCATGTTAATGAAGCGAAATATCTCAAACGCAGTGCCGGGCGGGCGTGCACCACACGGATACGCGGGGGTCACTTTGGGATCCTGTCATGACATAATTCAGATTTCTAATGAATATTAAAAGCACTTTGGATGCTGGCTTTATTGTCGGATTGCAGAGCGGCGCATTAAGGCCGGTGGCGGTGTTCCCGTGGTGTTCCTGGTTAATGTAGGTCAAAGCAGTGACGGAAGGGTGTCCTCCGTTGAACCCGCGGTATTAATCCTCATCTCAGTCCTGCAGATGGCGCACACAGTCAACTGAGTGCCCTGGGTGCTCACCACGGAGCTCACACAACAATATCCGTATGGAGCCTACCCAGCCTGAGAGATGGCGATTGTCTGAAGCGACACCTCTGCCCCCCCTCTCTCCCCCCCCCCCCCTGTACAACTGTAGAGGGCTATGAAACCAAAGTTCAAGGGTGCTTTTTTTTTTTTTTTTAAGAGAGAGAGTTTTTTAACACCCAGTAGACGCGTGCAGCAGCTCGCGAGGCAGGACGGTTTATCAGACGGGCTGCTCGAGCGTAACCTCAGTTGACCTCTTTGTCAGTCAGATCCTGTCTATCAAGACGAGGAGCTGTTTACACTGAACATCCTCTAGCTCCAAAAACTACACATGAATAATATATTGAAGTATCTATTAGACACTGGCCTCCGCGTGCTCATTATTCTGAACTACAGACACGCGTGTACGCACACACGCACACCTGTCACTGTCTAGACAGGGAGGGGGCATTAAGGCGGTGGGCGCGGGGGGGATCCCACATGACCCATTACTGCTTTATTCTATGCTAGCCAGAATATATCTTAAGGCGCTGTATAATTACAAAAAAAAAAAAAAATCAACAACAACAAGAGAAAAAAGCGAACGCTCTACCAAATCTGATTGGCCGGCTGAACCGACACGAATTTTTCCCCCCGCTCGCTAACTCGAGGTCAGCTCGGGACGTTAAAAAATAAATAAATGAGAAAATAGAAATGCGTAGAAAGTAGAAGACATGGCAGACAATCTAGCTTGTTGGTGCCTTGGATGATCGACGGCGCCGCTGTCCAATGGGAGAGCGCGGCGCAGCTGGCTCTCTGTACTGGCAGAGGAGGCGTCCAATGCAAAGTTCAGACGCATGATGGACACATAACTGACTATTCCCCCCCCGTCCTTTTGATCAAGACTGGGGGATAAATGTGAGTTCATTCACAATTGTGAACGCTGATACTTTCTGAGCAGCAGACACCTCAGCCCACACAACAATAATAATAATAAAAAAAGATGTGCTATTTTAATTAGGAAGTGGGATTTATGGGGGAAGTGAACAATCCTGGCTGCGGTGCAACATCACAGTGAACCTGTTTTAAATCTCATCCCCTTTAGGTTTGGTTACGCACTATGACTTCTTCTCTTTTTTGAAATGTTCTGTGTTGCTGCTGAGGTCGGAGCTAACTTCTAACACCTCGAGTAGGAGGAACACTACTACTACTACAACAACTACTATTACTATAACTCCCACCACTTCCACAGAGCCATAATGGAGCCGGATTCACCGCCCCACCGTGCGCCCTGCGATTGGGGCACCATAATGTTGACGGATTTCTGATCCAACCCAAGACAGTGCCCTGTTCTTCCAATAGCAGCTTTAAGTGAAAAGGCGTGCCTGCGTGCACCACCCCCCCCCATTCTCTCCCCCCCCACCCCTTCCGCCACCACCACCACCCCTCACCACCCCTCAAAGTACTCGATGTATAGTTAAAAAATGGGAGGGCACACTTGAACCGAGCTGCTCTATGAAGGTAGGCTGCAGCGTGTGTTTATTGATGAGATGAAAAGAAGATGGAAGTGAGAAATGAAACAAAGTAAAGGAACATATTGAAAAAATAAAACTACGCGCTTCGTCGGGGGAAAATAGGGGGAGCCGAGGAAACGCTGTCGGCCACTTTTGACAAGCTTCGAAGTGCAGGTAAGAAATTGAGAAAAGTAGGAAAGGGGATGGGTCCTTACTATATGTATAATGCTTATATTACAGGGGAGAATTGGGAGAAATTTATTTTACGGGCGATTCAAACATTCGCATTGACTTTTGCCTGATATGCATGAAATGCCTCTGACTTCCATGTAGTTGTGGCTGGCTTTATCCACCAAATATTAAGCTCTATAATCTGAAACTTCAGTCTTCTGCAGACATTGGATAAATATGAAGCTAGCGTACCAGATGAAATGTCCCTCACGTTAGAGGGGCTCAGTTTTTTTTGGCTTCCAGGGGTTTTTGTTGTCCATTTATTCGGCTACAACAACGCGCTGCCTGCCCCTGCCATGACGCAAGTTTCCCATCTGTCATTATTCTCAACATGCCCCTTTTACCTTTAGCCCTTTACTTTCGGAATTGGCCGTGGAACCGGCCAGGGGGACACTTGAGAACAATACTGTGGTTAAAGTGTGTAACTCACAGGTCTGTTTCTCTCAATCAGCGATGCTCGCAGGGCTTCTGCTTTCACATTTTACACACTGTTAGCCCGGAACAACTGTGGCAGCCGACGTGCGCATTTGGCTTTTAGGTCAGTTATTTAAATCAGAGGGAACGCGTTTCCATGTTGAAATTAACCACAACTACACACTCTTAGTAAAAACAGTAATTTCTCAAATGCGCTTCAGTGTTTATAACTTGACCCAAAGAGGGTTTTGATGTTTGAAATTCACAATTTGGCTACAGCAGCGGCTCACACAGCGCTTATACTCAGACAGATGTCTAGCCTACATTTTTTATGAATTAATATCAATACGGCGTGGCATTTATGAGATGGGGTTACATTGTGCTCAGGCAGGATGGTTGATATCATGTGTGAAGGTAAAACAATACTGCTTGTTCAATTCCTAAAACAGAGGCTAAATCAGAACCAGATCCAGTGGGACTCTGCTCTGGATTTTTTTTTTTTTTGTGTGTGCCATGTTTCTCCAAAAAATGAATGATCACTTTAAATCGCCGGAATCCGCTTTAAGTCGTAGCTCAGTGTGTGATGCGATGTGAGGATGTTTTTTTTTTTGTTTTTTTTTTTGGGGGAAAGGGTGGCCTAGATATGGGGGCCATGCTCTGGTGTAATTAAAGTTGCAAGATACGCTTGCTACGTGCCTTTTGAGACGTTTTGTTGCAAAATATTCATGGGCAACTCGTGATTCTTTTGCTCTTGTTTGTCAGATGGCAGCGATGATATACTTCATTTGTTAAATAAAGTTTAAAAAAAAATGTTTTTTTTTTTTTTTTTGGTCTTCATGTGTTAGCGCAATAGAAAATAAATGGAGCAATGCTGTCCGATATTCTCGGAGGCAACCATGGGAGTTGAGCCGGAGCAACATGTCAGTTTTGTTCTTCAGGGCTTCATTTGTCCTTGCGCGCGTGCGTGACGGACTGGGAAAGGGGCATAGACGGAGAGCGTATGTGGATGTGTGTGTGTGTGTGTGTTTGGCAAACAGATGTTGTCCCAAAGCGATGGCTTTGTCAGATAACGAGAGGAATACATCGTGTTCTCCTGGCCGTAAGACGCGCCGCTGGTAGTCCCCCCCCCCTCCTCCTCTACCAAACAGCACGTTCTGATTAATGGCGGTAGACTCGCCTGTAGCCCAGAAGTTGTGTGCAGGTACAAAGCTGTGCTTCAACACATAACTTAAGTCAGAGGTTGTAGCTGGTCCGTGAGGAGACACAAACAAGAAGGCCGGTACGGGGTTTGGCACAGAGGAGGCTGCATGAGAGCGCAGCGCTGCGTCCGGCGCCCAAAACGGTCTGTGGATGTGCACCTGTGCGTTTGTGTTTGTGTGTAGATGTGTAGATTTAACCACATACGAGTGCGTTCATCATTTTACACTTTGTTGTGATCACTTCCACTCCCCCACCGCCTTCATTCAGAATATCTCTCCACAACGTAAATGCGCTGCTATCCTATAGGCTCGGTTATGTAATTGGCGGCTGCACTGGGTGATTTGTTTTCTGAATGGACACATTTTGGAGAGCACAGAGCTGAGCGCTGTCGCACAAATGCAACATTTCACTTTGATTTCAGCTGTGCATGATCACAAATCTGTGCTTAAAACTGGAGCATATTGATTGACAGGCTGCATGTGGGTGAGTAAAGTGTAAATGATGTTGTCACAAAGCATGGATGGAATGCCCTTCATGTGAAAAGAAACTCCACACCAGTTTAATACCTGTATTTTTGGACATTTTATTGTTTGATGAATTGGAGGGTACTTGTCTTGTGTGTGAGTGAGCTCTCAGCACGGCTTGATGTCAAAAACTCTCGTTTCATCAGCACAGAGGTGTACAGGAGCTGCTGAGTGAGAGACAGCCATTATATGCCATGGGAGTGTTTGTAGTGCAGAGTATCAGGTGCCCAGTTTCATCTCAGTTAATGAGAATTTATGTGAATATATTCCACATGTATATTAATATTCACTGTGTTCCAGCCATCGCCATTTGCCCGCTTTCTGTGTCACGGTTAAAACCCACCCATGACTAATGAATATTTAAGAGCATGTCTGCAGACCAAGGAACTCATTATTATCTGAAGGAGACCCAGCAGATAAACTGCAGACCTTCTCAGATGAAGGCATAGGGGGGTGTGAGGTGTTCAGTTAATCCACACTCAGCAATCAATCCCAATTTTCTTCTCGCTTCACCATCCTTCACTCGTCCTCTGTAGCTGCCCTCCCTCTTCACATTCAGTAATCTATTATTGACTACCAAACTGACATAATGTGTCTGTACTCCGTAGCATTTAATTTTCAAATGTTTTCCAAGGGATGTACTCTATCTGTCACTCTTTCTCACATTTCTCCCACCTGATTGGGTAAAAGTGTAAGGATACCATGCTGTAATGTAATTAGTACTTCTTTGGAAGGGACTTGTAACAAAAAAAAAACAAAAAAAACAATCATCTTGTACAGTACTTGCACACAGATGGCAGGTCAGTTTTCCAAATAATTTTTTAAGCGCAGCAAGGCTCTGCTGCCCAAATAGGCAAGAAAGAGAGATCTCTGTGAAGCCTCCGCAATGCCACGTTTCTGGTTGTTGTTATTCCCACACCATCCTGCCATCTTCACCAGGCTTTTACTAGGTCATCCTGGTGCCCCATAACCCACATTATTAAATTTATAAATATATCTTCATTATGTTGCTTCAACAGAACTCTCCTGAAAAGATTTTTGCTGCTCTCGTGGTTTAGTGGACAGCTGAGTGTAGTGGAAGGGACGGGAGAACTAGGAAAGAGTTTGTCTTTTTTTTTTTTTTTTCGATTCATAGTGTTACTTTATTTTATGATGTTCATTGTTTGGTGTATTCTATTTTGAATTATAGTCTTAGTTTAAATATTTTCATTGTGTTGCAAGTTTCAGCATGCACTAGCAATGCAGAGATACATTAATATAATTCAAGCATGCAGTACATGTGGAGTTTTCTGATCAAGTCAAATTAGAAATTGTACTTTTAAATGCCACCTAGGCTATTTTTCAATGGCTTGTCAAACAAATTTGAGACTATGCACTTGAGTCCGTCCTGGCACTTTTTCTACCCCAGTTGAACATATTTGGCAGCCATTTTGGGAGTGCAGTAGAGATCCATCGATATAACGAGCCACTTTGTGGATTGCATCCAGAATGTCACACTGCTTGTTAACTGCTTGGCCTTTTTGTCTCGCACGCTGTTTACACTTTCCCCTCCTTTTTTTTTTTTTTATGTTTTTTTGGTTGCTGCATTTACAACAATATATTCCCTCCAAACTAATGATGTGATTTCCAACTGAGACAGTATTCTGTTGTTTAAAGTTCATGGTAAGTGATAATGAACAACTGAATGGGCTTTTAAGCCTTCAAAAGACTTTCAACTTAAAGATATTTTTTTTTTTATGAAGGCACACTATGCAAAGTTTCTCACCTGATTTTTACGGCACAGTCTGCTGTTTTACAGGAATTGCACCTTTAATACCGCTTTTGAGTCCCTAGTTACCATGGCAACATAAAAAAAGTAAAATTTTTACAGAAGTCTCATATTTTTTAATTGAAATACTTACGCTTTTCAGTCACATCCATTCATAATAATAATTAATAAATTAATGAGTACTTGCCACCTTGTTGATTTGTTAGCCTACAAGATTTTTTTTTGCAAAAAGAAATAATTGGCAGGCTAGCTGCCTCCTGGCTAACTGGCTTGCATCCTTCTACCCACAAAGCACCTTTTCACACATAACATGCTTCTCTTCACATGATGTATTTTTTTTTTTAATTCTTGAAAATACTAATAACACAATTGTTAGACCTATTGAGAAAACGTGAAGAGTGTCCTTTGTAATTCATGAGAGAATTCCCCCTTTAGCCACTTTCCTCAACATGTAAATACTGTGATGATGAGTTATGGGGATTTCCCTCCAGCTATAAGGAAATGATGGGAAATAATATGCCTTGTGTAAGAGGAGGAAAATGTGGCCTGTTTATTAAAGATGTGATCGTTTAACCAAGATTTTTTTAAAAATGGTTTAATGTTGCAACCAGTCAGATGAATATTATGCATCCATAACGCTTAACAAAGACTTCCACAACAGCTTTTCTTCTCATTTGTGTCGACTGGCTCAATTTTTCAATTCATCGAGCAGGAATTTTTAAATACTCTCCCCTCCTTTTTTTGTCAGTAAATTGGCACTCAGAATATAGCAGGCTGTTCGTGAAAATAACTCTATTCAAAGTTTGTCTTCAATGTCACTGAGATGTTGAAAAGAGACAAAGTACAAAACTTTAGGGCAAGTTCTTCAGTTTTTAAGAGGACTTTTGTTTTGGAAATCTCCCCTCCCTGCAAGTATCACAGGAATGTGTAATGAAAGCACAGATTGAGACTGAATAAGTATTTGCGAATGTACCATGCTGTTGTCACGGAGCTTTTGTTTCAGTGAAAAACGTAGAAACATCTTGCATAAGACACTTTCTGTTCTGCCATAGATGCATATTAAAGTCTATTGATAAAGAAGGATCTGTTTATCATTAAAAGAATTGATATGCATATGAATAGGCCATCCTGTATGGACCGTTTATGACACACTTGCCCGAGGATAAGCCTGTTGTGTTTGTGTTCATACTCGTAAACATGAATTTATAGACTCTTGGACTGTATTTTTATTATGCCCGTTTAAAGCTTTTCTTTTTTATCAAGATCTCTTAAGTGAATTAAATTCTAGCTGTCACTTGTTTTTACCTCCTATACTGTTGTTAATAGATACACAGTATATACAGTACAAACACAGTCCAGTTATGTGCATGACTATATGTTTCCATTACCTTTACTGGGACGGCCTACAGACTCTTTATTTGTTTATTGTTTTATATTTACACGACTGGTTTAAAAGCTTTTCATTAAAAGTCTGCCTTCTGAGGAACTTTTAAGACCCGGATATAAGGTAACAGCTGGATCACAAGTCGTGTCGGGACAAGCTCAGATGATTTTTGGAAGTAAAAGTTTAGATCAGAACTGCAACTTGTTGAAATAAAGAATGCTAGATCCTAAATTTGTTTTAAATTACATAGAGAAGCATTTAAAGTGAATTCGCATTCCCTCTCTAAACACACACTGCAGGCCCAGGCATTCAACTGATGTGAAAAATGTATCCTGGATTCTAATAGCAAAGTTGTATGTTTGCCAAGGTGCATGTGTGTCCTCAGTTCACCCCGCCGCTCATATGGTTTTCTACAAGTCATGGTGAGATCACTGCCTCGCTGAAGGGGAAAACTATCTAAAGAGGGTTTAAGAAAATGAAAATAAACTAGCAGAGTGTACTGTAACTTTTGAAACTCTTTTACAGAGAATGAGTGCTGTGTTTCCTCTGCTTCTATCCTGGCTTCAGGAAGAGTTTTTTAAGCCTTGTGCCAGTAAACAGCACTCACAGCAGCCAAAATGTTAGGGCTGTGCAGTCTTACTCAAGGTACATCGGTATGCACTGAGCAAAGAGTAAACTTAGAGGGAATTATTTACACAATAGTATTTGTGTCGTGGTTTCATCACAAAATGAATGTTGTTGAAGCCTTAAAGTTCTTCCAAAGAATCTAAAACAGTATTTTTTTTTAATTTTCCTTTTTTATGAACTACCGGTAAGTTATTTGCTGTTTTGAAATTCAGCTTTTGGAAATCACTGTCAGACATTTCATGTTTTGAACAAATTCTTCTGAAAAATATTTATCTTTTTAAATTTTCATTTTTATCGTGCAAATGAAAGGAGTATTTGCTCTGGAACTGTCGAAATTGTTTATTGCCCTGAGAATGACCTTGATAAAGACAGATTTCAAAATAGACTCCTTCAAGACGCTGAAAATCATTATTCATTTGCTGAACAGCTTATTGTTTTATCAGTCAGGAAATGAATGTTTTATCTTCTTGGGGGGGCTGGTTTTACGACAGTTGGTCCACGTGACAAAGGAAGAGCATGGGTAACCTGTTCAACTGCACACAAATCCTCCGTTTTATCAAAGTAGCTGGGCTCGTCTGACAATAGCCATGACATTTATTGTTGATAAATTAGAAAACGTTGTGATCATCCTGAAGGCATCAACTCCTGTTCATAACACCTGTGTTACATTTTTGGAAAACATGCAGTCCACATGTCAAAGTGAGATGGATCAGTGATAGATTTTCATTTTTACAGTGATGCCTCAGTGTTTTTCCCCTCACTCATTAAAACCTAATTATTACTAACATGATTATTTCAATACTTTCTACTAATAGGACACATTTTAGACTGAATCACACTGGCCTGCACCCTGACATTCATTCATTCATTCTTTTTTACTCAGGTTCATGGCCAGTTCAGCCTTTCCTGACATGCTTTGAGAGGAAGGCAGGGCAACACCCAGTGCAGGTCACACAGGCAAACAAAGACACACTCACACAGGTAACAGGAGCTAGACATTAAAGACAACATTTTGGATTTGTTTAACATACTGTAAAGCCTCCTGTTGCACAAAGAGGAGTGAAAGATCTCAAATAAAAGCATGATCCTTCCTCTTTCGCTCAGTCTCACTCTCTCTGACAAAAAATGACATGGAAGTAACACATTTGTTGTTGCTGGCCCTGCTGAAATACATGTGGCATGGTTTTTATAGTAATGTTACCAGAAACAGCTGAGGAGATTAGGTTACAATCTAGGGTTTATGAGCTATAGATTATTGCCATCAAAGATAATTCTGCTTCATTCAAACAGACCACATTGACCAACAATTCATGTGCATTAGCAGAAGGCTGAAAGGCCAGATCATTCATATAAAAATGGAGCTGATGGGTGGCCAGGCTTTAAATCTGCTCTGTGGTAGATTGGATTCTGTGCAGACTTATCTGTCTGTGAACAAACTGATTAGAGAAAATAACCTATGCCAATTTTACTCAAGAGAAGGCTCAAATAGTTGAGCAACAACTTCCCTGAAACCTTAAACACACCTTAACATTTGCCACAGTGAAAATATGGTAGTTTATGGTTAGTGATAGTGTGTGGCTATGTTTAGGCTGCTTATGATATGCTATAAAACAAGTCCGACCGCACCAACTGGTTGCTGCAGCATACTTTCTTCCTGCAGTCACTCCTGAGAAATGGCCGGTAAAAAAAGGAGGATGTTTATATTTAAATAAAAAATTATTGTTTCAAAAAGGCGTGTCATTTGAAAATATTTGTTTTAATTTTGGCTCTGCTGCTGACTTTTTATTATTTATGGTGCACATATCAATATTTGATTCAGTTATAATAACTGAGCACAACTTTCATCAGGTATAGGTTTGAGATAGGTTTGAGATCACAAAGTCAAATATTTTCATTGTGAAGAAGAAAACATCTTATTGTTATATGTACATGTTATTAAAAATGACAATCCGTCATTTATTCGTCTGCCTATTTTAAAGAAGTCAATATCAATGCATTATTACACCCCTCATCACTTTATGTCTTAATCTCGACTTCCAAGAAAATAATAATTTTTCACATTACTGACTGACAAACACGCTTAATGTTGTAAATATATACTTACATAATTAGTCAAGTTCTGCACCCTTTGATCGTCCCACTAAGCCAATGACACACAGACTCTGCCATGTGTGTTTACACAGTACTTGTCTTTGTTGATCTGGACAACACTTCATGTCACTCCTTCACACTATGTCCATTTTATCATGAGGATGTGTCACACATTCACACACCGGATAGGTGTAAGTGCATGGCTTATGTTTAACAACAATCAGCTCTTATATTATTAGATGTCAACAGACATGATAATGTAAATGTGTATAAATCCATGACTAAGGGTGCACCGATGCATCCGTTTAACATAGATATCGGCCATGTTGACAGACCTCTGCCCAGCAGCAAAAAATGTGGCCTGAACCGATGTCAGTAGCTGATGTTTATCTGTTGTCATATCAATTTAATGCTTGCATCTAGTACACCTAACTGTGGACTCAGAGAATAGGCTTTTTATTGGGAAGAGGAAGTCCCATGTTGGACAAAATCTGTTTTGATGGTCAAAAATGAGAGAAAATGTTGGCTTTGTGTTGGCTTCAAAAGAAGTAACAGGAAAAAATCCAGTCTTTGTCAGTAATTGGCAAAAATTTTAAACATCGGTATCGGCCCTGATTTTCACAATCAGTTTCCCAATCATCCATTACATGGATAGAGAGTTCATGTATTCAGATTTTGTAATTGTCTCATGAAAATTCTAATCTGTTATGTTTTACATACTGCGGAACCTGTCCTCCTACTGACCCTTTATGTCATTGCATACATACATACATTTAGTGGTACAGGTATAGAGACATAGAATACACCTAATACAAGATCAATCCCAATCCCTAAAACAGTTATGGTAACTATATGCATTCACTCTTTGTCTTTGCTTTTGATGGCGGCTGTTGGTGAGATAGTTATAGAATAGTTTTCTCCAAAGACATATTCTGAATATCATTGTGTGCCTTGCAGTATTCTTTGGATATATTTGGTAGTTTGTAAAATGACTCCAGCTTTCATAAATGTCCCATGTTAGCTGATACAGTCTATAGATTACTGACCTCATTGTTGTTTGGTAACCCTTTTTTTTTTCATGTGACTGTATCTTCAGCTTCATGAGTGAATTCTGATCGACTCACATTTCCAAACAAGTAGTTTTTTTATTTTAGTTTTTTTATGTCTTCTCAAAAATTTCATTGAAATAATCCTAAATAGGTGAAAAGTTTAAGGTCCTGTTTTTTTTGGGGGCATTTTTGTCATTTGTTGTGAAATTGTGTAATTACATTGCTTAACAGGTTTGTTTTGCAACACTGCATTGTATAGATGAAGTTTCCTCATGTGAGTTTGACCTCCTCCCTGTTGGATTAACAAAAAGCTTACTTTTGTGCATGCTTTTGTGAATTTTCAGGTCGTGTGGGTGGGTGTGTATTTAAACCATTATATATTAGCTGGTTGTGTTCAGCTAGCCTGCAGACCTTGGACAAGAGGTGCTAGCACTTGGAGGAAGTGTGTATAGGACACTCATGTGGTCGGCTGTGTTTCAGTGTGTCAGCATTACACTTTTGGAAGGGTCATATGTCAAATGAGCTGATGAGACATATATAATCTGTATTTACACAACGGCTCACCAAACTATAAATACATTTAAAAGTGCTAATATCCATTAGGCTGGAAATAAACACTGCATATTTACTGAGTCATCTGGATTGAATATCTGGTTCTTTACTTTAAACCTGTAGTTACTGTACTGTGACAGTATGTTGAGGATATGGTTAGTTTACCTCAACCAAGAGTCAGTTAGATCTCATCCTGATAGCATGTGTGCGTTGTTGTTGCCGTAGCTACAAGCTGAAGTATTCTGTGACATCAAGCAACCTTTTCTTTCCTTCTGTATTTGTTAACAAGCAGCATGTTAACACTTTGAAAGCACGTTTTTTTATGTAAACTGGCAAACCTTCTCAGGTACTAGGAGAGAAGAGAGGCTTCCTTTGCTGACCCTTGAAGCACAGAGCAGCTCAGAAAAAAAAAAAAAAGGTGCAAAAATGTGCTGGACTGCTTAAATCAGCCTCGTGCATTAGTAAAAGTTCAGCCCTGTGCTGCTGGACCTCCTCGTGCAGCTGCTGGTCAAACACATGTTCAGCAGAACAATTTGGGTGTAAAAAAATCTATTGATGGACTTGTGTATTTTGAGATTATGTTTGTGATCGATTCTCGAGAACAATATATACATTCAATTCAAAGAGATTTTTGTTATTAACGGGGAAATACATTTCTTGCACATTTGAAATGTACACTAAAAACTTGTTCCCTAAGTAATTTAGTGTTTGCTTCAAATTTGTGCAAGCAAAGTGGAGTTATTGACTATTTTGTGCTATGGATGTTGGACTGTGTCAAAATGTAATGTAGAGTATTTAGAAATCAGATTTTATAAACATGCTGATATATTCTATTTACAGTGTATGTTTCCCCTAAATTATAATATAGCATCATATATATATATATATATATATATATATATATATATATATAGCATCATATAGCAAATAGTTATTCGATACAGCCCCACTCACAGTCACATTCACAAATACTGAAAACAACCAAATAAATGTACACTATGTAGTCAGATGTATGAAATGAAATGTGGATACAAATAAAAAAAAAATACATTTAAGTTTTATTTTAATCACCCCCACCTAGTTTTTTTTACAAACCTACAAAGATTTCACCTCTTTAAGATACTGTTGAATTCACCTCTTTAAGATACTGTTGAATTCACCTCTTTAAGATACTGTTGAATTCACCTCTTTAAGATACTGTTTGACCACATATTGTATGTATTTCTGTGTGAGTGTGAGAACAAGTGTGTGTGACCCTTTCACTGTGAACACTTGTTTTCTAGGCTTCCTCTGTATATTATATGTGTGTGGCTTTAGACTGTGTGGTCTCTATAGTGATAAATAGTATCAGCTAACCTAAACATATTCAGAGTCTGAGCTGTGCCCTACTGTGATAATAAGTACTATGTACTTTCAGCTGAGGTCCCACACTATCGTCTCATAACTCAGCACAAAGCATCTTTGTTTCGGGTTTATCTCCCAAGGACATAAAATGAGGAGACACTTTGTTTTCTGTCAGAGATATTAAAGGTGCTGCAGCCCTACTATACCACACAGTCCACTTGTTGAGATCATGCCTGCTTACTGTACACTGTCCTCACATAGACATATACAAGTCTGTTTTACATACTGCCAAACAGAATCAATTAGCTGGCTCTTAATCATGATACACAGGTAATAGACAGAGGAGTCCTATACGAGCGTCTACGTAGGTTCATGAAGATCTCTTGATGGCCCACCAGGTCGATTTTTGGAGAGGCGAAATGTCCTCGACACGTGTAGTAGCTTTGGAGAGGCAGTTGCTGTGGACACTTGTGCCTAAATGATCTCTCTTGAATTTAGCATTATCTGCTTCGGGGGTTAGAGGTGTTTTTGGAGACTATCACATGAGTAGTCAGATGGTTCTTTTTGGTCAAATGCTCATTAACAAAACCACAGCGATTTGCCAAAACTGAGACATTTCTTGAAAGCATCCCTTCCATTTGCCAAAATGAGATACTGGCTTTATAAATTTAATGGCCGCAAGCCCACAATAGCTGTTTGTTTTCACCCTCTATGCCTTTTTTTTTTTTTTTTTTTAGGGAAACTTCATAAAATACAGTGTGATAGCTCCCAAAACAGGACCGTTTGTTTGGACTTGGCCTGAAAAAAAAAAAAAAGTATATGAGAAGTAGTTTATCCTCCCATCTGTAAAAGGACAAAGAGTCTGCTCAGGATAACGGGTGGTGGTGGTGGGTGTGTTTTTGACAGAAAATGACGAAGTTGAACAAGCTGTCCTGTCAAAAAAAA